CCCCTGCTAGGATGTGCACACAAGTTCCCTAGTTCACCCATGACCTGAACCTAGTTGGCTTGGCTTTCTAGGGCATAGGCTGCCTGTTTTTGCCTTATGGAATAATTTTCTTGGTGAAAACCTAGGGCTCAGAGTCTGAGAAACCCAGGAAGATGGTCCTGATACCTTGTCACTTGACAAGGAATTTGAGGAATCTGTACCTGAATCTCCCACCTCCTTAGGTTTATAATAGTCTATTGACAGTATTAATAGTTTTAATAGTGTTAAAGTCATTGTGATCATCCTCCAATCATTACGTTGGTATTGATTATTACTTTGATTGTTATGTTTCTTATTATAGATTGTTCACAGGCAGTTGTTACAAAACATTGAGTATAGTTTCTATTCATGAGGAGTGTCTAATTTTTGGAGACCATTTCTGATGGTTCCCAAAAGACCTTCACACACTGAGGCTACAGTTTTCCTGCCCCACTGCTTGGTCTCCTCTCATGCAGCAACCCTCTCAACATGCTCATGTCCCTCTCCTGAGGCACATACCCACCCATGCTGGCAGGGAAGCCATGTGGATAATGTCCCCAGGTTGGCTGAGCCTGAAAACATGTACACGTTCCCTCCAGAGATCAGACCCATATCCTGTACAGCTGGAAGAACCAGACAGATCTCCTTGGCTCACTCAAGCCAGGACAATCTTTCTAATTCCATTTTCGTGCCCTGGAACTGCCCCTGCCATCCTAAAATCCTGGAAAACATATTACCAGGTGCCTGAGCCACCCTCAAAATTCTCTACCTTAGCTCAGAGCTCAGGGTTCAGCAGTGCCAAAATTAGAGTCACACGGAGGGAATCCCTGGTCCCGGGACCTTTTGTAAGTATTCATTGTCCCCTTAGGGCCTCAGGAAATGCTCAGGCTGCAGCTGCAGGGCATGGAGATGCAGACCTACCAACCTGAGCACCTGCACAATGTCAAGTCCTCCTGGGAGCCTAGGAAATGCTTCTGCTGGCCAGCATCACCCCCTGCTGGTCGGAGAGCACCGTACAAGACACCCTCTTGTGAACTCCCCTGTGGACTTCCTCAGGTGTGGGTGGAACACAAGGCAGAAGGTCATCCAGGAGGTGCTGGCCACTGTCATGTAGGGAGCTGAATGGATGCTTCTGGATGCTTTCATGAGATCCATTTAAAACAGTGTGTGTGTGTGTGTGTGTGTGTGTGTGTGTGTGTGTGTGAATGCAGATGTAATTCCAGGAAGAGAATGTTGGATATCAAAATTTCTGTGGTTGACCTATAGTTGATTTTTCTGTGGTTTTTTGCTTCATGGCTCATGGGCGCATGCACTATTTGCATTTTACCTAAGATTCTACTCAATTTAGACTCAAATAAACAATAAAACTGAGTCCATTTGATTAAATCATTCCAAATTTAAAATCCATTTGAACAATTTAAAATCTTTTAATTAAAAACTGAAATGTCATAAATAGCATCCTAGTTAAGACATCTTTTTGATTTCCAGGGATGCATAACAAGTGACCATAATCTCAGTGGCTTGAGACATTTATTCCCTCACAGTCCGGAGGCCAGAAGCCCAAAACCAAGATACCAGCAGGGCCACATTCCTTCTGAAGCCAAATCAGTGACAAAACCCAGGCAAATTGCTCGTATATTTCTTGGTGTCTTTAGCAAAGAGGAGAGATAGACTTTGGTGTCTCTATTTCCTAAGCTTTATACATTTTCAGAAACTTTTTTTTCATTACAAGTTACATAATGCATTACTCATTTTCTAATGGAAACTGATAATCATCACAAGTGCAAAATAATTCTCTCATCCATTCAAACAATTTCTGCAGACACTGCCCATTCAAGCTGGTCAAGACATACTGACACCTTAAAGCCACAGGCTAAATGTGAGTGCGTTCCTCCCTGCATTTCAATGTCCAACCTCATACTGTGTCTAAATGGCACAAGTCTACAGCAAATACATACTTAAACAACAGAACCTAAGGTATCTTGCTGCATAATTCCCAGAGGTAAAATTTAAAATCTTGCAAAATGAACACTAGATTTTGGATATGTACTCATATTGGGATGGAGCTTAAAAAAGGTGTTTTTACAAAGAAGTGTGAAACCAGCCTCAGGATTTCTATTGTTATAATTTCTGGGCCACACCTAGGTAGAAAAACATTTATAAAGGCCTTTATGATCACTGTATATATGAATCATATTAGAGAGAGTTCAAAAAGTTTGGGAGAAAAGCAATGGACTGTAATCTTGCCAAAATAATTTGTTGGAGCTACATGCATTCTGGCTGGTGAGGAAGATTGTCTTCCTATGTGATCCCTGAGCTCTTTGGGAAAATGATGCTCCCTACCCTAGAAAACTAAGGTCCCACAATCCTTGGCTCACATGATATTACTCTGAAAGCAAAGTGGATATTCATAAGAATTTCCTTTGAACTTGGAAACTCTCAAGAAAACCTGTCCAGAAGAGTGCATGGAAGTTAGGGAGGTTGGGAAAGCGCTGAAATGTGTGTCTGTCCATTGTGGGAGGGAGGGGAGGGAGGTGGGCTGGCCTGAATGGTCTCTCTACAGATGAAGAGTGACCACACCCTAAATTCCTTCCAATCAAGTGTTTGGATGACCTTGTTCCTATTCACGTGGGTGGACCAAGCCATAAAGGGCTGAGGAGATGGCCATACCTGTCATTTGGAGACTGGTTCAGTGAGAGAAGCATCCCAGGGAGTGGACATCCAGGCATGAAGGGTGGAAACAATGTGGAGGAACCCCTGTCTGTGTGAAAATGACTGACAGTCATGGTCCCATCATCCCATTACTTCCTGTTTATATTGAAAGAACATTGGCCCAAATATATCCATGGATGGAGTCTAGGTAAAGATGTGTTTGGAAATACAAAATATGCACCATCTGGACAAACTTAGTGCATCTACACAAAGAAATAACAAACTACCATGATACTGGATGAACTACAGCTACACGTGACAAAAGACAGACTCTTCAGGAAGTTATTTGGGTCAAAAGGTAAGGAGCAGAATGAAGTAGAGTAATTGATAAATGTGCAAAGTTTTTAGTTGAACAAAATATATATTGTGAAAAGTCCACACATATATCTGTGAATACTTGCTAATTGCTTGGAAACGGTAAACAGCAACTAAATGCTTATTTTTCAGGAGATAACTGCATCCAGCCTGATTGAATCACATTGATTAAGTTCCCTTAACAATCTCCCTCCCTTGAGACAGCAGAGAAGATGGCAGGAAGAGTGACAAGTCAGTCATCACTACAATGTTCGGGGTAGATGGGGCTGGAGGACAGGGAGTGGGGGATGGGTGTGGCCCCTGACTCTCACCTTCTTCCAGGTAGACCCTCTTCCCTGGAACACACATACACACTCAAAAAGACAAATTGTTGAAAGATGTTTTCAGGGGCGCCTGGGTGGCTCAGTTGGTTGGGCGACTGCCTTCGGCTCAGGTCATGATCCTGGAGTCCCGGGATTGAGTCCCGCATCGGGCTCCCTGCTCAGCAGGGAATCTGCTTCTCCCTCTGACCCTCCTCCCTCTCATGCTCTCTGTCTCTCATTCTCTCTCACAAATAAATAAAATCTTAAAAAAAAAAAAGAAAGAAAGATGTTTTTATACCTAATGCCTAAGACATAATACTGATTGTCAGATAGGGGGGTGGTAGCAAACTCCGCCCCAAAAGGTACAGGTACTGGGATGCTGAGCAATTCCCTGTGGGAGAAGGGTCCTTGCCAACCATCTTTCCTGTCTCAAGGAAGGGAGATTGGGAAGGGAACCTAATTCAATCAACATGATCCAATCAGGCTGGATGCAGTTATCTCCTGAAAAATAAGCATTTAATTGTCTTTTATCATTTTCAACCAATTAGCAAATGTTCAGGTATATATGTGTCCACTTTTCACAATATGTATATTGTGCAAGAAAAAACTTTGCACATTTATCAGTTACTCTGTTACATTCTGCTCTTTACTTTTTCATGCAAATCACTGTCCCTAAAAATTCTGTCTGCAGCCATGTATAGCCGTAGTTCATCCATTTTCATGGTAGGTTGTCATTTCTTTCTCTCTTTTTTTTTAAAAGATTTTATTTATTTATTTGAAAGAGAGAAACAGCAACCGAGAGCACAGGCAAGGAGGAGGAGAAGTAGGCTCCTCACTGAGCAAGGAGCCCGATGTGGGACTCGATCCCAGGACCCTGGGATCACGACCTGAGCTGAAGGCAGACACCCAACCGACTGAGCCACCCAGGTGCCCCAGTGGTTTGTCATTTCTTTGTGTACATGCACTGAGATTGGGTTTTTGTGTCTGTTTTTTGTTTTGTTTTGTTTTTTTTCCTAAGGTTCTTTTTAACTCCTCCTCTGGTTGGTGCATATTTGTATATTTCTAAGCACATCTTTACCTAGACTCCACCCATGCATACATTTGGGCAAATGTTCTTTCAGTATAAACAGAAAGTAAGTAATGGGATGATGGGGCTGTGACTGAAAGCTGTGTTCACACCAACTCCAGGCCCTCAGCATTGTTTCCACCCTCATGCCTGTTTGCCCACTTGCGCTGATCCTTTCAGGCTGCGAGTTGCCCCCACTTCTCCCCTGTGCTGATAGAAGGGAGGGTTCACCCACAGACACAGATCCAGTAATAAATCCAAACCTCTCCAATAATATCCCCATAACAAGCAAGCCTTAAATCTCAGTATCCTGCAGTTTAAGTGGAATGCCATATCCCATGAACACACCCAGATAGGGTCTCTCCACGTGTGCAGAACACACACCTACAACACACAAAATATTTCCTGTCCGGGACTATCTTCAAGTTAGGTGAGTGAGTGAATGAGGGTGTGTATGTGTGTGTGTTGTGGGGGAGGGGCCCGTGTACACCCAAGCTAGTAATGAGATCCCTGGACTACTTCCCTAGACTTCTGTCCCTTCTGGTTCTTCTTCTTGCTAGCTCTGGCTCTCCGTGCCAGACAAGGGACTATGGCCATGTCCCCTGCCCTCTGAGATGCGATGTTCCTGCTAAAGTGTTGAGCCGGTTGAAGTTTTGTTCAGGATCATTCTTCAACATCTCATATTTGGACTGGTGAATTATGACTGCATGTGCAGGAAGAGCAAATTCTACTTTCCTGACATTGAATTCAGCCTTAGGTCGGTTGCGTTCTTGGAGGAATCTCCACTGGTCTAATGTGATTTGTTGCACTGATGTCTCTTCCATGTGATCCTCTAATTCAGGAACTTTGATTCTGGAGTCGGTTTTGGGCTCCCTTTGGAACCCAACCAAGCCTGAGTGGTCAGCCTCAGGGGATGTGGCTCCCTCACCGAGTGACTCACTCACAAGTTCTCTTTCCAGTTTGGTCTTCTGGATGTAAAAGAGGACATAGGCATGTTGGCTCAATGCACAAGTCACATCAGAGGTGGTGACCTTAGCATCATCCATTTTATACCACTGGCCATTTCCAGCTTTTACGAAACAGAAGTAATGTCCGCTGTGACAACTCCACCCAGCGTGCACCAGCACAGCATAGAGCACATAAACCAACGGTCCTGCCCTCTGCTCACACAGGTAGGGTTGCATGTCAAGGTGCTCAGGATATTGTACGTCCTTAGCCATTTCGTTTCCTGTGAAATCTGAGAATCGTTTCAACACCAGGACAAGGACCTTTGAGGGAATGTGCAAAGTCAGCATCTTGGAAGCAGGCACCTTCCCTAGACAAGTACTACAATGATAGGCATTTTCACCATCCAACCTTTTGGGCTTCACCAACTGCTCCAAAGCTTGGCTCACACTCTGAGCCGCCACAATGTCCAGGCTAATGTCCAGGTACGGGTCCAGAGTGCTTGAAACACTTTGGCCGTGGAGACACTGGATTTGAGACCTCCAGTACCCTCCAAAGATTTGACGGATGAGGGTGGTGTCCTCAGATTGAGGGTCTGAAGGCTTGTCCTCAGGCAAGCATGCTTGCTGCATTGCACCCAGAGTGAACATGGGCATCTTCCTGCTTGTGTGTGTGGAAGGCAGCGAGCAGTCCTGGCAAGGGACGGATCACAACTCCAGGTTGGCTGAGGGCCCGGGTCATGTGAGCTTGCAGAGTACACAGCATGCAGAATGTCTGCTTCCCACAGGTTTCTCCGTGCTGCTGGGACAGCATAGAGATGGCAAGGGGCGGTATGTATGCCAGACACTGCAGGACCGCATTCACATAGCAGGTGTTCCCCAGGTTCTGAAGCCCAGCCCCAACCACAGAAGGTCTCTTCCAATGCATGAGTTTCCTTGTGGGAGCCAGCCCTGCTGATGTGGGAGCCAAACCATTAGTCAGGTAGCACCGTCTGTGAGATGGTGGTGATGGCTTCTCAGGCAGAGAGGGTCCCCCGTGGACCTCAGCACCCCCTACATTTGACCAGCAAGATTTGAGTTTTGGAAAGACATTGAACTGAGACCCCTCTTGGTGGTGGAGAGAAGCAGCCTCCATGTCTCCAGGAACAGTGTTCACAAGATCCCCCACGTGGAGCCTCCGGTTGCAGAGGGATGCTTCTCACACTGAGCCACTCTCCAAATGACAGGTGTGGCCATCTCCTCAGCCTTTTATGGCTCGCTCCGCCCACGTGACTAGGTACAAGGTTATCCAATCACTCCACTGGAATAAGGGATTTAGGGTGTGGTCGCTCTCCTTAGGCGGGGAAATGATTCCAGCCAGCCCACCTCCCTCCCCTCCCTCCCACAATGGACAGACACACATTTCAGCACTTTCTCAACCTCCCTACTTTCCATCACACCCTTCTATAAAGATTTTCTTGAGAGTTGCCAAGTTCAGAGGAAATCCCTTATGAATATCCACTTTGCTTTCCCAATAATATCAAGTGAGCCAAGAAGTGTGGGACATTAGCTTTCTAGGATAGGGAGCATCATTTTCCTAAAGGAGCTCAGGGATCACATAGGATGACAATCTTCCCTACCAGCCAGAATATATGTAGGATCATCCTGTTTTTAGAAAGTTTACTGTCAGATGCTTTGCCTCTAAAATACCATCACATTCTCTTAATATGATTGATGCATTCAGGGATCATGAAGATCTTTATAAATATGTTTGTCCACCTAGGTGTGGCCCGGAATTTATAACCGTAGATCCTGTGGCTGGTTTCACACTCCTTTGGAGAACATTTTTTTCTTTTTTTAAAGATTTTATTTATTTATTTGAGAGAGAAAGAATGAGAGATAAAGAGCATGAGAGGGAGGAGGAGGAGAGGGAGAAGCAGACTCCCTGCTGAGCAAGGAGCCCGATGCGGGACTCAATCCTGGGACTCCAGGATCATGACCTGAGCTGAAGGCAGTCGCTTAACCAACTGAGCCACCCAGGCGCCCGAGAACATTTTTTTCTTAAGCTCCATCCCAATAGGAGTACCTATCAAATATCCAGTGTTCAGAGGCACCTGAGTGGCTTAGTCAGTTAACTGCCTGTCTTTGGCTGAGGTCGTGATCCCAGGGTCCTGGGATGGAGCTCTGCATCGGGCCCCCTGCTCAGTGGGACCCTGCTTCTCCCTCTCCCTCTACCTGCTCCTCCCCCCGCTTATACTCTGTCGCTCTGTCAAACAAATAAATAAAATCTTTAAAAAAATCCAATGTTGGGCGCCTGGGTGGCTCAGTTGGTTGAGCGACTGCCTTCGGCTCGGGTCATGATCCTGGAGTCCTGGGATCGAGTCCCGCATTGGGCTCCCTGCTCAGCAGGGGGTCTGCTTCTCCCTCTGCCCTCTTCCCTCTCGTGCTGTCTCTCATTCTCTCTCAAATAAATAAATAAAATCTTTAAAAAAAAAATCCAATGTTCATTTTACCAAATTTTAAATTTTACCTCTGGGAATTTTACAGCAAGATAGCTTTAGGTTCCGTTGTTTAAGTATGTATTTGCTGTAGACTTGTGCCATTTAGACACAGTATGAGGTTGGAAATTTGAAATGCAGGGAGGAATGCACTCATGTTCAGCCTGTGGCTTTCAAGGGTCCATTTGTCTTTAACAGCTTTCAGAATGGGCAGTGTCTGCAGAAATTGCTTGAATGGACTGGAGAAGTATTTCATACTTGTGACGATGATCAATTCCTGTTAGAAAACGAATAATGGTGTTGCACTATGTAAATTGTGATGAAAAGAAATTTCTGAAAATGTATAAAGCTTAGGAAGGGGAGACATAAATGTCTATTTCTGCTCTTTGCTAAAGACACCAAGAAATACATGTGCACTCTGCCAGGGCTTTCTCCCTGACTTGGCTTCAGAAGGCAAGTGGCTCTGCTAACATCTTGACCTTGGACTTCTGACGTCTGGACTGTGAGGGAATATGGTTTCTTCTCTTAAACTACCACATTTTGGTAACTCATTAGGCAAAATTTAGAAATTAATAAGATGTCTTAACTTACTATTTTAATAATTTTTTTAAAGATTTTATTTATTTATTTGAGACAGAGAAAATGAGAGAGAGAGAGCACATGAGAGGGGGGAGGGTCAGAGGGAGAAGCAGGCTCCCCGCGGAGCAGGGAGCCCGATGCGGGACTCGATCCCGGGACTCCAGGATCATGACCTGAGCCGAAGGCAGTCGCTTAACCAACTGAGCCACCCAGGCGCCCCTTAACTTACTATTTTAAAAATACAAATAATCTATCCAATAGTTAAGGGAACAATGATAATGAGAAATATAAACTTAAAATATAGATAAAAATAAAGAATTATGAGAAGTCATTCCCATTTATCAAAGATGTATTCATAATTCTACATGCTCTCAAAACAGTGAAATGTGACATGCAATGTATACAATGCAATCACTGAGAAAGAATGATATAGGTATACGATTGTGAGAGAAAAGATAAAAGATCATTTGTACAAAGACAGTTGACAGATAGACAGAAAGATAGATGGCACAGAAATCCGGACATGGTAAAAATTTTCTCTGGAGCAAATCCCAAGCCCTCCATCACCACTGAGAAGGCCCTGGCCAGGTCTGAGGCTTGGGGGCCAGGAGGACCCATGGTGTCACCCTCCTCTGAAGGCTGGCAGGTTCAAGACCCAGGAAGAAACAACCTGTCATTGCCAAGGCAGTCACCAAGGAACAGGTGTCTAATACAGGGTGATGGGTTAGCTGTGTGATCCACGAAGGCCTTGGATTGACTGGCAGTGGTCACTCCATGAAGGAAGGTAATCTGCATTGCTAAGTCGACTGAAGTCAGAGATCATCTCATCTCAAACTGTCCATTGAACATCCCAATCCAACAGATTGTCTAGGAAATGATGACAACTCAATGGACACTTTAATCCTTTAAGAAACAGGTCCAAACGTGGTGGATGCAACTTGGTATGTTAAGAACAGTGAAAGGTACTCCTCCACTGCCCCCAGATCTGGTTTCTTCTACATGGAGAGTGGTCCTAAGAGGGGCTGGTGCCACTTTGGCCAGGTCGAGCAAGGGACTGGGGAGTCATTGAGGCCAGTTGGGGCAGGAGAGGATAGGGACTGGGTAGGAGTATGTATGGGGCAGGGGTCAGGCTGATGGGCATAAGGGTTGGGCAATGGCAGGGACCCCATGAGATTGGGTGAGGCCAGGTGGGGGCTCAAGGAAGCAGTGGTAGGGCTGCAAGGCACCAGGCTGGGACTGGGCCATGGCTCTAGGGCCATGAACAGAGGCCCAAGGAGGAGCTTCATGAAGAATAGAGGAAGGGCCCATTCAAACGTCTCTACAATGTCCAATACACGCCAATCTTAAAGTCAGGAAATCGCCCAGAGGGCCAACACGATTGGAAATGGAGGCTCTCTCCCCTCGGTTAGTGGTGGTGGTCCTCGTTGGACTGCTTTGGAAGAAAGATGCTCGCTTGGATTCCAGTCAGGAAGCCCAGGTGATAGCATTCCCGGTTTCCATCCCTGACTGTCACAGAAGAAGCCCCAAAACAGGGGAGCCTTGATGGCTCAGCAGAGTACCAGGCCAGTTCTTGATTTCAGGTCAGGTCATGAGGTCAGGGTCTTGGGATCAAAACCTGGGTTTTGCTATGCACTCAGCAAGGATTCTCTCTCTCCTTCACCCACTGCCCCTCCCTCCACTCCTGTGGGCTCTCTTTCTCTCATTCGAAAAGAATTAAATCAATATTCAAAAAGACAAAATCACAGGGATATATTCCAGACAACGGTGAGTCTGATGGCAGGAGCATGAGGAATGGTGGAAATCACACAAAGATTAACCGGGAGCAGAAAAAGTGCCAGTTCCTTGACAAGAATAAAGAATTGAAAAGGAGGAGATGAAAAGACATAGAGCCACATTGGTCCACATGAGGACTGGTCAGGACCCACAATTTCAGTCCCCACACAAACGACCAAAGGAGCCAGTCCCAAGAGGACACATAGCAAAGGATGCCCCTCCTCCCCAGCTCGTTCTTTCATTCTTACTCTCTCTCTAAAAGAAAAAAAAAGAAAAAAAAAGGAAAAGAAACAGTCATACCCTCAAAACTTTATTATTCATACAAAATATATGGATTCTGAAAAGCACATCTGCACATACATATGCTATGGAATGCATGAAAATGCTGGACAGGAAGGGATGCAACATTAGGACTGGCCTACTGATAGGAAGGAGGATTGGATTGGTGGTTGTCAAGTGCCTGAAAGGTCACGTGACATTAGGTCAGTAGAAAAGACGAGGGAGGGAAGGAAGTGGCCCTTTCTGACCACTCCTCAGGAACCTGGGACACGGAGTCTCCTCCAGTGGAGTCCCTCTGCAAACCTCTGAGCCTCTACTGAGAGACAGGAGGAGACAGCTGCATTTCAGGTGGGTTTGGGGACAACTGGGTCCTCACTTCAGCTGTCAGAGAAATAAGGCAGTGAGGAAATTATGAAGGGTTGTGACTTTCCACTTCGGGTTAAGCACCCTTTCATTGAAAGCATATTCTGAGAAGAGTGACTGGTCAAAGGCAAGGCTCTCAATGCTCCTGACTCCCTGAGGTTGTAATTCGAAGGGAACTTCATCCCACAGTCTCATCAGTGCGGGGTTGTGGAGGAACCGTGACAAAATCCTGGTCCATTTGGCTGTGGGCGCTGAAAGCCTAAAGAAGGAACTGGTTCCCAGGATGTGGAAAGATCCTCAACTCCAATGGATTAGAAGGGAGTTAAGAATGGGGCCCTGAGAATAAAACATTAAAGAAGAGATTCCAGACCCAAAGATGGGCAGCTTCCTGTCGAGTAGAGGAGAAAGTATGTTTTGCAAAGTGACTTTGTAGTTGAAAATGGCTCCCTCGTGTGTCAAATGGGAAATTCAGACTTTGAGAGGAAAGCATAGGTTCTTTCCCATTTTCTACTCTGTGTGCCCCATGTCGTATTGCCATAGCATGGATTCTTGTGAGTTCATGGGGGCAGTGGCTTATGCCACTAGGTATGAGTTGAGGCCAGTTGGGGCAGGAGAGGATTAGGAAGGCATGTGGGTCTGGGTGGGGCAGGGTAAGGATGAAAGG